ATTTTTTTCTATTGTTCACGCCCAATTATGCCTTATAAAAAGGACAAGCGGTCGTTGCAAATATAATCAGGGTATTTAGCCCAGAGTCGAATCCACAGGGAATTAACCTACCAATTACTCTTGTTAGACTCACTAAATTCTTCGTAATCAATTTCCCAGATAGTTTGAATAACAATTGCTGATTTTTCTACTAACTATAACTGAATAAAATTAAGTAAACTAAGAGCTAACTATGCCTGAGTTGTAAACAAATAAGAGAAGAATCTAAGGTTGTGATTTTCCCTATTGATGGAATCCCTTCCAGTTATGTTTCGCATAGATTTGCCTAATCATCTCTATCAATCATGAGAACTCTTATTAACGTAAATCTCTCCCGAGTAATCATGACAATTTACTAGACGCACTCTCCCGAGTTACGCTAGTTGGCTTTTCTTACAGCTCACTTAGATCGCACCCAAGGTTTCGTTATCCCTAATCCCACCTTTAAACTCTCGGTTATTGATTCCTCATATACGTCGGGAGTGATGTTGTTCAACAACTACCTAAATATGCACTCTCTCCCGAGTAATACATACTAAATAGGCATAACTAATTGAGGTTCCTATCAATTAACTACAACAAGAACATAGTTGAACAAATAGAGATTAAATCGGACAAACTATATTAACATAACAAGAAGTTTATCCCTCAACAGGTTCCATCAAAATCCTAGACTAAATAATTAGCTACTCATAGCAAAGCAAGATAAAATATAGAATCATTCATAATTCGCAAATCATGATAATAAGAAGAAGATTGAAAAACTCTAATGGTGTCTTGATCTTCTCATACTTGTTCTTACCTCCAATTTAGTCTAAAAACAAGCTTAACCTTTGTTTGGGCGAGTTTGTTGAGTTTATTAAGGGTTAGGATAAGTTTCCCCCAATGTAAACTTTAGTCCCCAAATTTCTGGCTGATTACACAGCCGACCGCGGCCGCGGCAGAATGCGGCGTGACCGTAGTGAAATGCATCCACTCTGCCTCACTCGTTTGGCCTACCCCGTTCCAGTCGCGGTGTCCTCAAGTACAGTTATCCTTTGCCTCTTTCTTGCTTATTTTCATTTGGGTTCTTCTTGATTGGCCTTATATCCACATTTTTTACTCCAAAACACTCCATAGTCTCTTCCTGACTTGGATTAGTTCTTGCAAAGCAAAAGAACACTAATTAGAGTATTTTGTTATCATTTTGCATTTAAAACAACAATAAAGTATGGTTCATTTAGAGTGTAAATAGTGTCTATATAGCCTACTATTAACACCCTACACTTAAACCGTTGCTAGTCTTCTAGCTACAAACCACACTCTATAGGCCTAATCATCACAGGATACCTCCCCTACTCTTCATACCAAGAACACCTCACACGGGTAGACTACTTCAGTGCGACCTCCTCTCCTCAAGAGTGGACTCCTTTCTAGCCACGCAATACCCCTAAATAACTCTCCTACTCTCAGTCAGAGGTCCAGAATTACCTTTCCGTCATGAATCATGTGCTTACTCACTACAAAAGAGACTTATATCATTTACTAACCACATACTGAGGAACTCAAATACAACATTTCACTCACCCTCGGAAACAAATTCTCATGCCACAAACAACACACCATAGGCTTGCCCGTAGTATAATACTCGACTAATCGAGCTCATTCAGTCTAGAGTCAAATAGGACTTTATTTGGTTGTAATGTTGGCTGCGGGATGGGTAGAATACATATGGGTATAGTGGCTACACCTCCCTAAGTACTCCACTACATTGCGTACTTTTAAGCTCTTAACTTTGTCATACTTTCATTCCACCATTACATTATTGTGTTACCCCCTTATCAAGCACATGTTTTCTTTTAATAGCTACCACCAATTTGAGACTTCTCTCTCTTTTTTCTTTTTTTTTTCTTCTGGTAGCCTCAAATATAGTTTATCAACCAGTGCACTTTTTCTTTTCATATCCCCTTAATTCCACTTAACAACCCAAACAATCACCCCACACTTGTATTTTTCCATATCCATTATACTTTGAGTGCTTCTAAGAGGTGATAGGTTTTAACAAGATAGGCTTTCTAAACTCGGGTTAGGCTTGTACTATGGTTGCCAAGGAAACATGCTTACAGGCTCAACGGGGTTGACTAAGGTATATACAATTAGGTGGGAGCAAGCATACATAGAAAGGTTAAGCAAAGAAGCACCTATATCACTTTCCAGACCAAACAACACTACCATTTCTCTTTGTACACACATAGGGCAAGTTCTAGGCATTGAATGTTAACACAGAATACACAAAGCCTCACTCACACATGACACATGACTCAATTCAGTTAGGATCATCGGACACTCTGCTCTAAGTACTTGAACCATTTAGGAACACACAATTTAAGGCCTTATTTGAGTCAACTAAAGAGCCTAAGTATCACACTAAAACAATTTTTATTCAAGGTATCATAGAGTTAAGGGTCCCTATTTTATTTTTGTTTTTTTCGCCCAAGACTTTCTAAACTAAAAATAAAAAAACTAACTACACCCGGTTCAAATGGAAACCCTTGGAAAAGAACCGTGGTTTAAAGAAAAATCAAGGGAAGTTGATACACTACCTAACAAACGAAAATCTTTTGTTTTTTTTTCTTTTTTTTTTGTTCAACTTAAGTCCCTCAAGAGACCCGTCGAGTGGTGTCCGTCTTCGGGCCAAGTCACATTTAATTAATATCAACCAAAAACACCCAACAACAATAACACCAAACAAATTTATACAATTATACAACAACAACCATTCCCCACCCCACACTTAAAGATTTGGCATGTCCCCATGTCAAAGAGTTTAAAGTAGAGTAAGGTACGGGGACTTCCTTGGTGCTCAGTCCCGATCAGAGACTGTGCTAGGATCGAGGTGACATGCTTGTCCAAGTGCCCGGAGCCAGTCCATGATCGTTTTCTCCGACCTAGCATGTTGAGTAGTCAAATTGTCAAATCTAGTACCCATGTCAGTGATTGAAGTGTGTAGGCCATCCATTTCTTGCTCCAGGGATATCATGCGGGTACTTCGGCGGGCCTGTGATGGGCCTTCCTCATCAGCACTCAGCTGGGGTAGGGTGGCAGCATCCTCAACATCCTCATCAGCATCATTATCATCATCAACCACCACTAGCGGCTCTCTCCCACTGTGATTTTGCTAGCCTTGAATGGGGCTTTCAATTGCAACTTACCATCTATTGTGGGCTTTTCAGGAACTCTTACTGCACAACACAACTTGGTGACCAGAGAGGGGAAGTAAAATCCTTTGAGTACTTCCAGGGAGCAAATGAACATCTCATGATGAAGGAGCTTGGCCATATCAAAATCATTGTGAATCATAAAACAGTAAATAGCCATTGCTCTTGGCCCGTTCATATCTGTAGTATTGCTGGAGGGTAGCAAACAACTGTTGATGATTGTGAGCCAACACTTAGCTTCCCAATTGAGAGATTGGGAGTTTAGTGTAATTCTGTGCTTTATCCATATTGGCTCACGGTTAACCACACAGATTGTTTCAAGAATTGGTGCCCATAAGACATTTGGGCGGTGATAAGCATGGTAATAATCCATCCATCCAGTGAATACCGGTTGCCTGTACACTCGGTGGATGGCCTCATGAGACGCATTCACCCGTGTATTCTACAATGTGACTACCCTATCAACATGCTCCGGGTAGTTTACGTAAAACTCCCATACCATAAGTACATTTGCCTCTTCCGTCTCATCAAAGAAGATATCCAGCTGACACCTCCTTAACTCTTCAAAAATACTTGGGCATTCAGATTGCAGGGCATGCTTGTCAATGTGTACTTCAGGAAACAACTTATTGGATGCCTTGGCGTTGAACCTATCTTGAGCTGGTTTGGAAACAAACCTAGTGTGGTCAAACTTCTCCGCACTAGCCTAACCCCGAGCTTTAGATGAACTTCCATGTCCACTAGCCGAGGAACCTGTGGTACATCGCTTCTTGGACTGATGCATTGTACCTGACAAAATAGAGGCTACTATTAGTGAGGGTTTGAGTTAAATGAACCCTGGGTGGTTACTCAGACTTCACCACCACCATGGTCACATTAGCCATTACAACTCCATTGGGGAAATTTCACAAACACCTTGTGAGTATGATCTCTAATCTAACACACCTAGCCTCATAGAAGCATAAACTCTTCCCCCAAATCAACCATTCTCACTTCACCATTCCACCCCGCCATAATTAACTTTACACAACAGAACCACACTCTTCTCCACAATATTTTTCACATAACCCACTAAAAAGCAGAAAAGAAAACCAAAAACAAAATCCAATTATAAATACTACACACTTCAAACATGAAAATTGCAAAATAAAGAATCACAAGAAGGGAGAGGAGAAACTTGACATACCTGGGCTTGTAGAAATTGAGATTGATGGAAGATGAGGCCTTGTAGAAATGTGTGTGTGTGTTTAAGAGAGAGAAGAATGGGTTAGGGCTTGGAGAGAAGAAGAAGAAGAAGAAAGAGAGAGATGTTAATATAGGGCTTGTAGAGAGAGAGAATAATGAGGAAAGTGAGGGTGGGTTTTAGTGTTTAAGAGGAAAAGAAAAGAAAATAAATAAAATAAAAAATCTTTTTAAAACGTGACTTACCTGGGCGACAGACCTATCGCGAATTATCGCGGTCCCACCGCGACCGCGGTGAGTTGGGGGGGGGGGGGAGAGGGGGAAANAAACAGAATGGTTGCATTTCACCGCGGTCGCGGTGGATCAAGCAATCCTAAAACAGAATACTCGTCATTTACTGCGGTCGCGTCGCGGTCCCACCGCGGTCGCGGTCACGAGCTTTTTTTTATGTATTTATAAGGATGTTAGTTTCCTACACATCTGGTACACCATAAAACAAAAGAAAAGAAAACAAAAGAAATCATGGGTTGCCTCCCACGCAACGCCTGATTTAATATCGCGACACGACTCAGATGAGCGCATTTAAGGTTCGCTCGACCTCTGAGGTTCAGTCATATGGATCACTGACACTTCCTTGCATTCATCCATGCCCACATATAGTTTCAATCTTTGCTCATTGACTCTAAATGTATGAGAGTCTTTCTTTGAGGCAATCTCTACGGCACCTGAAGGGAACACTTCGACCACTCGAAATGGTCCAGACCATCGTGACTTGAGTTTACCCAGAAATAGCCTTAATCTTGAGTTATAAAGCAACACCATGTCTCCAGGATTGAAATTTCGCTCCACAATGTTCTTGTCATGCAACCTCTTCATTCTTTCCTTGTACAACCTCGTGCTCTCAAAAGTAAGAAATTGGAACTCGTCTAGCTCATGCAATTCTGTGTCTCTATTTGTTCCCGCAGCTTCCATGTCATGATTTAGCTGTTTCATTGCCCACCAAGCTCTATGTTCTAGTTCCACTAGCAAGTGACAGGCCTTCCCGAACACCAACTTATATGGTGACATACCAATTGGTGTTTTGAAAGCGGTTCTGTAGACCCAAAGTGCATAATCTAGCTTTTTTGCCCAATCAGTTCTTGTGGCGTTGACAGTCTTGGTCAGCACACTCTTTATCTCTCTATTCGACATGTCCGCTGGTCTGAGGATGATATGGGGTTGCCACCTTGTGGCGCACATCGTACTTTGCTAGCAATTTCTTGAAGGCTCGATTGCATAAGTGAGTGCCTCTATCAATAATAGCTCTCGGGGTCCCAAAACGGGTGATTATATTCTTCTTCAAAAATCCCACCACCACCCTTGCATCATTGGTGGGAAGTGTTGCAACTTCCACCCATTTGGACACGTAAAGGAACTAATGAAGGGGCCCATGAAGTCTATCCCTCATACATCGAACACTTCAACCTCTTGAATTGGGTTCATGGGAATCTCATGGCGACGGGAAATGTTCCCAGTTTGCTGACATTCATCACAACCCTTCACCCATTGATGTGCATCATTAAACACTGTTAGCTAGTAGAACCCGGCTTCTCGCACTTTTGCTGCCATCCTGACTCCTCCAAAATGCCCACCATATGCCGATGCATGACATGCCTGCGAAACAGAAAATTGTTCTATCTCGGGGACACACCTCCGGATCATATTGTCAACATATATTCTAAACAAATAAGGTTTATCCCAGTAATACATGTGGCACTCATGATAAAACTTTTTCTTTTGCACAGAGGAAAGTCATAGGGAACTATATTGCTTTCTAGGTAATTTGCAAAGTCTGCATACCATGGAACTTCCTCAAAGCTTGTGGCGAGTAGCTGCTCGTCTGGAAAGGTTTCCAGAATATCCTCTACCTCAACTGAGTTTTCAGCTCCTTCAAGTTGCGATAGATGATCAGCGACTTGGTTTTTTTGCCTTTATGGTCACGAATCTCCAAGTCGAACTCTTGCAGTAACAACACCCAACGAATCAGGAGCGATTTGGACTCCTTCTTCTCAATCAAGTACCTGAGAGCAGCATGATCAGTATGCACAATTACCTTAGAGCCAATCAGGTATGATCTGAACTTGTCGAATGCTAACACCACATCCAGTATCTCCTTTTTAGTCATAGTGTAGTTTAGGTGGGCTCCACTCAACGTTCTACTGGCATAGTAAATTGGGTACATTAGCTTGTCTTTCCGCTATTCTAGCACTGCCACCCTTGCATAGTCACTGGTGTCACACATGAGTTCGAATGGTTGCTCCCAGTCGGGGACAACAATGATGGCTGTTGTGACTAGCCTTTTTTTAACTCCTCAAATGCTACCCTGCAATCATCATAAAACATGAAAGGGTGATCTTTTTCTAACAACTTACAGAGAGGGTTGGCAATTTTTTAGAAGTCTTTTATGAATCGCCGGTGGAAACCGACATGCTCGAGGAAGCTCCTGATTTCCTTGACTAATGTGGGGGGTGGCAGATTTGCTATCACATCAATTTTAGCAAGATCCACCTTGATTCCCTTGCTTGATACCCGGTGTCCCAAGACTATGCTCTTTTGTACCATGAAATGACACTTTTCCCAATTAAGTACCAAGTTAGTCTCAATACATCTTTTCAACACTCGGGTCAAATTTGTAAGGCACTCATCGAATAAGTTTCCCACCACTAAGAAATCATCCATGAACACCTCCATTATGTCTTCAACCATGTCAGTGAATATGGACATCATACATCTTTGGAATGTGGCGGGTGCATTGTATAGGCCAAAGGGCATCCTCCAAAAAGCGTAAATTCCATATGGACATGTGAAGGAGGTCTTCTCTCTGTCCTCTGGTGCAATGGAGATTTGGTTGTACCCTGAGTACCCATCCAGAAAACAGAAGTGGAACCTCCCTGCCAGTCTATCAAGCATCTGATCAATAAAGGAAAGTGGGAAGTGGTGTTTCCGGGTGGCCAGATTTAATTTCCTATAGTCCATACAAATTCTCCAGCCTGTGACGGTTCTTGTAGAGATCAACTCATTGTTATCATTTTTGACCACCATCATACCACCCTTCTTACGAACACATTGCACCAGGCTAACCCAGTTGCGGTCAGAGATGGGGAAAATGATTCCCGCATCCAACCACTTAATCACCTCCTTCTTCACCACTTCCTTCATGTTGAGGTTCAGCCTTCTTTGGTGCTCCCTGGAAGGTTTGTACCCCTCTTCCAGCAGAATTTTATGCATATAATATGCCGGGATGATCCCCTTAATATCTGCCATGGTCTACCCAATGACAGTTTTGCACTCCTTAAGTACCTGGAAAAGCTGTTATGCCTGCACATCTAACAAACTAGATGAGATAATAACAGGTAATGTGGAGTTAGGTCCTAGGAACGCATACCTGAGATAGGTGGGCAGTGGCTTTAACTCCAGCTTTGGTGGTTTTCTATGGATGGTTTGGTTGGAGGAGTTTCTCTATTTTCTAAGTGCAGGGGCTCGAATTCAAGTGTTCTCTCCCAAAACCCTCTGCCCTCTAGAGCTAGCACCCATTCTGCCAATTCTTCCCCATTCACCTCATCTAAATTCACAAGACATGCAGCAAGAGGATCATCAATAGTAAATGTCTCGTCATCATCTTCCACGATTACATCCACGGAATCAATAAGAGAACAATTGGCGAATTCACTTGGTCGCCTCATCGATTTTTGCACGTTGAATGTTCTTTCCTCATTGTTCAACCTCATCTTGAGCTCCCCAGTTTCACAATCAATAAGAGCGCGCCCTATGGCCAAGAACGGCCTTCCCAAAATTATGGGAATTTCTTCATCCACTCTACAATCCAGAATCACAAAATCTGCAGAGAACACAAATTTCCCTACCTATACTAACACATCATCCAAGATACCTGAGGGTCTTTTCACAAATTTGTCAGCCATCTGCAACAACATAGACGTGGATCTAGCTCTTCCAATCCCCAACCTCTTATAGATCGCTAGGGGCATAATATTTATGCTAGCCCCCAAATCACAGAGTGCCTTGGCAAAGGCAAAGTTGCCAATGGTGCAGGAAATTGTGAAACTCCCTCGGTCAGACAACTTCTCAGCAATTGGTCTAGTCACCACAACACTGCAAGTCTGAGTTAGAGTCACTGTGGCCAAATCTTGGAAGTCAAATTTTCGGGACATCAAGTCCTTCATCATTTTTGCATAACCAGGCATCTCCTTCAAAGCATCATTCATGGCATATACACCTAGATTTGTTTCAACATCTCCAAGAACTTTTTGTATTGTTCCTCTTTCTGGTATTTGGATAGTCTCTGTGGGAATGGTGCTGGAGGTCTCTTCTTCCCAATGATTTGGGTTTTCTCTTTGTTAGACACCACCTCAACTACCGGTTCCTTGGTTGTCTCAGCTTCTTTCTCAGCCTCAATCTGTGTGTTAGTTTCTTCCTGGGTAGGTTGGACTGTCACCTCTGTCAGTTTCGCTGAATCATCTAACTCAATGGGCACCGGTACAAGTATCTCAACTTGTCTGCTTTCTCGAGCCGTCTCTTACTCCAAGTCTAAGTCTCTACTATTACGTAGACTCACAACCATCAACTACTTCGGGCCTTGATCTTTTGGATTTACCTGGGTGTCTCCAGGCAATGTCCCATGAGGCAACTATTCAAAGACATCGAGATCTGGCCCATTTGCACTTCAATATTCTTTATAGCTGACTCATGTGCATCTACTCTTTCACTCATTTTCGCATTTGACCTAATAACCTACTGCATCATTGCCTTGAGTCTAGCAAACCCATCTTCCTATCTCCCACCATGTTGCTGCTGAGGAGGATGATAACACTGCTACTGATTTTGGTGGTTGTATCCCTATAGAATTTGGTAGGGCGCCACATTATTCTGAAGTCACATGATTCCCATATTTCTATTGTTGTGGATGAACTAGCATGTATGTCTGATTCTATTGGCTGCAATTTTGACCACCATGTCTCTGGCCCCCATAATTAGACATATACTTCATGTCCTCAGGGTAATGATGATGATCACTTTCTGCATTCCATTGGCTACCAATTGGTTGACTAATGCAAGATGTGCATAAGCCCTCATTGGTTATATCTATGATGTGCACCTGCTGCTGTCACACCTCCTTTTTGCGCGCCCGCCCCGAAGGTTAAATGCGCGAGGGGAGTTTTTCCAGTTTAAGTGACAATATTCGAAATGGGATTATTTATTTATTTCAGAGTCGCCACTTGGGAAAGGT